TCTTGACAGGAACCTGGCAAACCCCCTCCTGCAAAAAATATTGAAAAAGTTCGTGCATTACCATGTTTTTATTAAGTATAGAATAAATAAACACAAGGGCATGTATGGACTATTTCTTTTCTTTTTTCTCTTTTTCTCTTATTTAGTAACATTCAATTACTTTTTTGAATTATCAGATATCCTCTCACAGCCTCACATAACAACTTTTGGTCTTTGAACGAATTATTTGTTAGCAGAAATTCGCCCGTGAATCTTATCACTCGTCATTTCGGTCAGTTCTATAGAAGGATAACTCGTGTTTACCTTTTGCATTCGTCACTTCGCTTTCTTGAAATCTTCATAACGCATCTATCGTGGCAATCTCTGTGTTAAAATTAGATTTGGAACGTGTTTAACCAGTTCTATCACGTGATAATGACTGACACCAATATTGTCCTTTAACACCGTGGATAGGTGTGTTTGCATATATATTATCGAAGCAAGGGTTACGAGCTCGTTAACCATTTCTTCGTCTTACCATGGTCAAGCAGCCTTTTCTATTCGATATCTACTCTGAGGCCGGTCTCTGAAAGACTTTTATCTAGGGCCCGGGTCCATGTAACTGCCTACGTAAGTTGTTAGGACTCGATAAGTCGTCCCGGGAATTCAAGTCTGCCGTTGTTCTTTGATTTAAAACCCCCATTGCATTGACTATTTTGATTGATCTTCCAGCGAACCTATAGTAGAACACTGAAAACAACCACACGCAATCGCTGTCAAGTGTGGTAATTGTTTATCATAGTTACTATTTCCTTAAGAATATGATGAACTTCGGGTGTTATTTTAGGGACAGATCGAACTAAAAATTTAAAAAAGATTCTAACCCAAAATCATATAAGCCATGGTTCGACCTAATACTCAATTGTAAAACCTTTTACGTCTAATACGTTTCTGAGATGGTTAAAGCTTAGTTGACACAAACTTTTCCAAATGTTTCTACAAACAATATTATCGAAACAATCGGATTTTTTTTTCTCGTTTTCTTCTCTTTTTTGGTGATATGTCAATAACTTTTATGTCATAGTATTAAACAATGTCGTTTTTTCTTTATCAGTCACACGTGCCAGATCCGGACATCTGCCAAAACTGAAGCAAGTGCACAACATAATGACCTCATATGACGGAGGGCAAGAAACAATGGCACATTATTAACATATTGTCAGAATTGTCATTAAATAAAATGTCCAAATGATAACAGGAAGATCTCAAATGATGACAGGAACATTAACTTATCTTTTAAAACCGGTATATAGTCCCTAAAGCATTCACAGCGGAACACTAGATATCGGTAGAATTCATCCTCGTATGTCCCAAATGCTTCACTTTGATTTTGAGAGATTCTAACGCGTCGACAGAAAAGTTTTCGGAAACAGATGGGCGAAAACCAGGCGTATACCTATCGAATTAACAAATCTTTGATATAAATAACAAGTTTAGTCTTTTAAAAAATGTGTTGACTAGACTTTAGATTACATCACATACATTCCATTTGTAAGATTTGTAAATCGATTATTGTTACTATAGCAATAAGGTGGTTCCATACAAACACTGAGTAATGCACCTCCAGCACGCTTTGTTTTCTTCACAGTCGGGATTGACAATCTGCTGTGCAATACATTAGGTTTACTTGGATACTCCAATGGAAAATGTATGATTTAAAAGAAAATGTTACATTCGATGCCAAGTAAACTAAGTGATTTGAACATTTTGAAGATGCATTTACCTAATAATAACATTACTCACAAAGCCATCGAATAAATATGTACGTTTATGTCTTTGATTTGAATACACATGTATAGATTTATGACAGGCTTACAATGCCACAGGAAGATGTACTGTTAATGAGAGTTTCCTTATGGAAAGGATGAAACTACAGTTTTAGATTCGTGAAACTCTCAGTCTTCACCTATAGGGTTGCGGTAATCGACGTGATTAAATATGAACAAAACTTATGTTCGTGTCACATCGACTTACCAGCATGGTGAATTGGAGTCACACAAATCGTTCATGCTCGCATGCTTTCTTTACTTCATCATACTTGTTTCCTTTATTATATAATGAGTTATCGTTCTTTTTTAAAATTATAATAATCATGGCATTTTAAACAATGGTTAAAATGAAAACCATTAATAATTACTAAAATGTATTTTCTGATGTACAGGCCTATACCTTCACATTTTATCAAGAAAATTTCTTGGGTATTTGCCTTTTTCATTGCTTTAGTAATCGGGCAATTGGCCACTGAATATTTTGCTTACTTGGATTTCAGAATCTGTTCCCTGTAAATTCGGTCAATTGAGTGAATACAAGAATGTGAAATAGCACGCGATGTGGATATGTGTAACGACATAACGAATTAGTGTTGAACCATTATTACAATTATTCGGGGCTAAAACTGACTTTGAACACGTTTGAAGTGAGATTTCGTATCAGTTATAACATGCTAGGTCACGGTCTTAATAACTCCAAATCAAAATTAACATGTAATTAACGTGTCTTATATATCATGGTTTGAATTAAATATAAACAACTAGGATAATCAAATGGATTGCCAGTTCAAACGAATTGAGTAATACCAGTACCACTTGTGTCATCTTATTTTATTAAGATGGCCGGCTATTTTACCACTCTAATTCAATCCCGGTCAACAATAATTAAAGTATACCAAAGTTGGGTTTAAAATGGGAATCTTTTGTGTACCTACCTACCTCTTATTATTATTATTATATTTTGGCACCGCGTTTTTGCCCCCCCCCCCCCCCCAAAAAAAAAAATAATAATAAAAATTTCAGAAAATTCGGTAATCAACCCTACATTCCTACTCAGTCATAACTTGCATGTTATAGAGTCCCAGGCGAATCCTTACCAAATCCATCCTGCTGTAAACCTATAAACAATAACACGTGAATTGAGAAGTGCTTTTTACGATCCTCAAAATTTTTGGGTATGGGATATTTATTCACTATATGATACACTTACTCCGTTCGTTTGACACTTTCCTCTCTGGTTGGATAAGCTAGTGATTTGGCGACAGCTCTATTTATCTCGACGATCTGTGTCTGAAACACTGCCAGACTGAATTTCGGATAGTCTTTTTTTCATAATTTCCTGGGGGATGCCCCCAGGATCCCCCGTTGCCGTTCATTTGACACTTTCCACTCTATTCGTATAAACTAGTGATTAGACGACAGTTTGGTCAACTCTATTATCTCCGGTAGTCTATTTTTCAAAAAATTTTCTGGAGGAGGCCTCATACCAATCGAATAAACCTGCCTTCAAAACCTGAATGCATGACTCTTCACATTTCCACACGTAATCCACTATGTCTTTTAAGTATGGGCCTACTTCTTTTTACCCACCAACCCTATAGCTAAATATATGTAGTTGAATATGAAACGACATGAAATGTGGTTTAACGTCCTACTTTTCTGCGTCAACTTGCCTAATAAAGACTTACATATGTCACACAGTACTATTTGATCCGGGTAGTAGCGTTTCTTTCAATTCTAACTGCCAAAGGGTTCTTTTACATGCAGAATAATATGTAAATGTACCTCGGGTTTTCGTCCAATTAGAAGGACTAAACGCCGTTCCTTGCCAGGCCCCTTCCGTCACCACTGACATGGGGGAAACCAGACTGTGTATTCCCGAGGAACTTTCTTGGTCAATACCGGGATCGATCCCGGGACCTTCTTTTTAGTGAGTCGGTGGTTCCCAGATATTAAATCTACAGATGATTATTGTAGACATTCTGGTGTGTCACAAGGATCGGTTCTAGGCCCATTTATTTATGCGTCCTTTTAGACTTTGATTGTGTCCTTGTCGCTCAAAAATGTATAGGCTATCAGCTAATTCATATAGCGTAGAGCACCTGTGGCCCTTTTGAGGCTTGTCGAAGTGTTCAGCATTCTTAAGAGTTTCGCGGGGGAAGAGGGTCAGTGATAAAAAAAAATGTCTAAAATTCAGTTTGAAATTGTTGGTTTTCAGTCAATAAATTTCAGTATCTGATATGAATGGCGATCATCATGCTTAGCTATGGGTTGACGTACATGTATCCCGTTTGTGATCAGAATGGGTGTGCCAGTGAATTGTGAACAAACATGAATGTAATGAAGTTACAAAACACATATTGCTGCATTCATATTTGTTTCATAATGTTAGGGTGTATGAGAGATTATGTGAAGAATGGTGGCGTGCGTCTTTTGTTCGAATGCCCCGAATTTTGGAGATCTGATTGAGCAGAGCGAATGCGGATGATTTGTGAACTGTCCCTAGGGGTGCGCGAGTGGAAAAGGGTTGGGCACGCCAATTCAAATTTTCTATACAAACTGGGTTTCTGCAACCGGATATTAATGTTTTGTGAATACAGAATGGAGTAAGTTTTCATAGAATTAGAGTGGTAGATTCACGTCTGACAAATTTTTAATAGCCTCACTACCATTACCGCGAAACGTCATTAGAGAAGTATCATTTCTCTTGTTCAAGCTGACGTCAGTCTGTATTTCAGTTGTTTATATAACTTCAATTTTCTTGAAGTTGCCTTTTCTATTAAAATCAGTCTGGACAATACTATAAGATCTCGATTCGGAAGTCAAGAGACATGCGTTTCTACGGGTACATGTAATTACTAACGGCTACTGTAACGACTGGCTGATGAAGACGGCTTTGTGGGAAATTTTGCCCGGATAGTGGCCTACTCTTATTTCGAATTCCAACTGTCAAGGGATCTTTTACGTGCCTACCGATGTGTACACGGGACCTCGGCTAAAAAAGATAATGGCTAACAAAAACTGTGTAGCTATGGTGGCTGAAAGCGTCCATTTAGAAGGCCGCGTTTCTAGATGTAACGCGAACAGCAACCCAGCACCATATAAATCGTTAGACAAATCTGTACAACATTTGCACTATCACTACAGTATGCTCTTTCTTGCAAGATAAGATAAGTAAAATCAATATCAATATTTAAATTTTTTGTATTTTTTTTTTTATTGTCATTTATTTAGATTTATTATTGAAAGCAACATGATATCACAATGTAGGAAAATGTTTTGAACATAAAATGCAATAGGAGATTGCAGTAATTTGTGTGGCTATTATATAACTTCAAATATAATACTGAAATAATGTATTTCGAGTAATAAAAAAAAATGGCTTGAAACAAAATCATAATATAATTCAAATTACAAGTTTAACTAATATCTTAACAATTTAACTTCTTTCAAAATATCCTTTGACATAAATTTATAACAGAAAAGAAGCAATTTAATAAATCCAACCTCATTAAAATAGTATACTAAATGGTAATCATTTCAGCTTATAAACAATTCATACTTCTTTTTCCCTTTATACAATTGTAATTTTATTTTCAACACCTCATGACAATGATCTTTATATCATTTTGTATATAGGTCAAGGTAAAAGAATGCATGCAATCATGATAATAAATATGAATATATTGCACATATGAAGGCAACCCCTAGTATGTATAATGTAGATCTAAAACTTTTGAATTTTAACAGGCCCCTAAGAAATGAAAAATTTCAAGATTTCAAATAAGAAATGTGTGCTTTAAATAGTTATTGTGTATAAATTACATTTTTTTAGAATGGATGCATTTCTTCACAACCCAGGTCAAAAAGGAATATTGGAGTTGATTGCTATTCTTCCCATTACTTTTATCAAGCTTGTTAAACAAGATTAATGGAAGTTACAAAATTACAAGGCAATATTTTTCTCTTTGATATCTGATATATAATAAGCAAGACATTTACAAAATAAAAAAAGCTTAACAGATCTTTAGCTTAATATATAAAAAGCTTCCATTTTGTCTTGTAATGGTCTCATGCATAGTTGAAAGATAGTGCTAACTACAATTTAAACAACGGCAGCAATAAAATAATCAACAACTATATTTCATTTAACAGTGTGCCATTTGTTTTTGATGCAATCTGTCTTGTTGCGAAATTACTTCTATCAAAGTTGTAAAAAATAGTATGCAAAATACTTCAAGATATTTGATGCAAACTATATTAATAATTAACATAGCATCATGTATATAATCTTTCCACATAAAACAGTTTATCATATATCTATATACAACTCCTACGAATTTATAGGATTTCGTTGGATCATCATAACTATTAATCACATTGCCTTACAATCAAAAAGTGTTTTTTTCTCCCATCTTCTAAAAGTCTTAAAACAAAAACAAAACAAAAAATCTTGTATCCTCTTAAACTTAATGGAATGTTTATTGTATCAAAAGACTTTCTCTTCAGGTCAAATTAACACCACTACGAAAGATGACATCTTGAAAAATAACATACAAAAATATCACAAAATAACAATTTTTAAGGTTTCAGTGCAGACAAGCATTTAAAAGCACAAATGCTTTACTCTATGGCTTAATAATATGGAAATTTTAAAGTACATCTGTACCAAGATTTTGAAATGTATTGATAGAAAAAATGTTATAAATTGAATAAAATTTTGATATTTGCTTTTAAATAGTTTGTTTTAATCAAAATGTAAAAAATGGCAAGAAGTAAAGAGCAATAACTTGAATGTTTTCATATTTAGTTAGAGGTTGAAATTTACAATTTTCATCATTGTAATTCAGGCACATAATGTAAATTGCACATTATTCAAAGTACACATAACAAATCATTTATGGAGTTTGGAAAAAATAAACAGATATGTGTATCTCCATAGTATTATAGTCTTCAACAGTCTTTAACTTATAGCACTTTAAAAGTTTGTAATTTGCATCACATGGGGAACAGCACTTGATTAGAATCTGTTTATAGTTTACGGCAAAGGGAGAAACCCCAGATGAAAATATTAAAGATTCCACTGGAGCTTGAAACAATAATATAAATTAACTTTAGGAACCATCACTTTTAACAAATAAATAGTTTTAAACAGAAAATATTTCATAAATAATTAGATAGTTTTAATTCTTAATATTTGGCCAGGAGTTAACATACAAGAGTATATTAAATTTAATAGTACATTGTTTTCAATAAATAGAATACACAGAGGAATGGACTGGCTTTTAAACAGAATTTGACTAGTATCATAAACTGGTAAAACTAGATAGAAATAATGGTAGTGTTTCTAATTCTTTTATGATTAGGAAGATTATGATTTGGAATTTTCCATTTATTAGTGTTTAAATTGTCTTTTTTTTAACTACGATGTCACACTTGTCACTGGTATATGGTAGAATCTATAAAAAATTCTTTGGATTTGTTGACATAATATCCCATGATGGTTAGCTACAATTTAATTATTATCAGTACAGATTTTTCACAAATTGGACGCTCTCAACATAATGACTGAAAGACCTGTTAAACCACATAAAAATTATTTTGAAAAACTTTCACAATATGATCAAATTTTTGCCATTTTTGATTCCATTCAAAAAGAATATCGTTTTAAACAAACCGCTCACATGTTTGAATTTTTTCTCCAGATTTGCAAATTTTAAAAAAGTGTTCATCAATAACAACTGAGAGAATTCATCACAATTTTCCATAAAATTTATTCTCACTGGGTGGTAGAGATTAAAAAATGGCAGCAAAAAAGACACCATATTGTGATTGCTTTCAGAATTTAAAAACTTTCTTTGTGGTTTTCATTATACTGCATGTGGATACTTGTCTTTCACACAACATTCATTCATTCATTCCATTTTCCACTTTCAAACTATCAACAAACACAAAATAAGTTCTTATGTCCACTTTTAATTAAGTGGATATCTATCACAGATATCTATAGCCTTTTACTGATCAGGCGAGAGAGTATATCGTTCTAGTATAGAAGCTGAAGGTAACCACCCAGTGTGCCACAAATCAACAGCTTGACATCTTTGTACATATCCACAAGTTTGCATCTCGATGATGATTTAAAAGACTAGACAATCTTCTTTTTTTTTTGTATATTATTGTATAACAGCATGTCCACACAGATTCACACATTTTTAATATCTGATAGTTGTGGTTATATTGTGATGTGAACACATGTAATGAACGTTCACATGATAATATTATTATATAATTGAGTCTGTCCATGGCACACACTTTTACTTTCAGCTTTAGCAAAGATCCTTTCCCTTCCATTGGGTGATCAGAACACCTCTGGTTTTGATCGGCAGTAAGGACTTCATGCTGAACTTTCTTTGAAGATATTTTGATCTGTAAAATTTAACCATCCGTGGCTCACGTCATATACTTCATGACTGCTCTTAGCGCATATAACAGTTCAGCTTGCATTCTCGCCTCTAACAGCATCAAGTTCACATGTACCTGTAAAGACAAAAATACCCAGTGTAAGTAAACTAACTCAAACTTCAAATCAATTACTATTTTATCACTTCTTGACACCACTTTATTTAAAACATAAAATAATAGCACTGCATGTATTTATTTATGGTATGCAGTTGAATGTATTTCTTATCACCCATACATCACATAGTGAGCCATGAAATCATGCATTAAGGGGTTATAAAGTTCAATTTGCTATGAATCACATGCATTGTTAGCAGGTGGTAATACTACATGATATCCTGTAGTTAATTCAGTGATCAGTGAATGAATTATTAGTAGGCCAAGAATATAATTACAATAGTAAGGTCAAGGTCGATGAAATATTCAAATCACTTGATTTTATGGTACTTTTGTTGTTTATTGCTTGCAATATCTGTGTGTTGTGTCTTGTCCACAGGTGTAACTTATTGGTTTCTTTGTGGTGCAGTACTCCTGTACTTGCAATACACTGAAAACCATACTGTAAAACTACCATTATGAAAAATAGTTACCTTTTCCGAATGTTTGAATTCTTTCATAACACCATCGTAATCTTTTTTTGTTAGCCTTTCGGGGTAACAAGTGACAGTCTTGATGTAAGCTTTTAAGTTTCGTTCTAATAATTGGTTAACTTCACCATAATTGTAATCGTCATGGCGGATACCATACATGCAGTGTATATAACTCCAAATGGCCTTTCTAAACGAAGACGTGTCGACTTGAGTATTGTTTCCCATTCTGTAAATAAAGATAACGTTATCCTAAATATTTGTGAATAAAAATAAGGTTTTCATAATAAAAGCTTTTTCAAAAGTATAAAAAAAAAATGTTTGGTAATTTCATTTATCCAGGGGTAATGATTATAATAAATCAAACTGAAGATTATTGAGTAGTATCAATCACATGAATTAAATGGAATATACAATGATTGATTGGCTAATTAAATATAGATTAAAATTGCTTACGTATAATAAGTAAGATTGTACGCCATATTAAATTTGTCATCTAATAGAGTTCCAATTTCATTATACAGTCTGTTTGCCAGAGAAAACCCATGTTCTTCCCAGGAATAATCTTGGGCCCGGAACGAAGGGATTTCTGTCACTGAGTCCCTCTTGGCAAAATCCTTGTAGGTGAAATTTGGGTCTTCAACATATCGTAAAATATCTGCACGTGGAGATGGAATCTTTTGGCTAGTAGTTACTGAAAGAAAACAATTTTTTTTTATTATCTTATTATAAATAACATCTGACTTCAAACAGATTGTCTAGCAAACGTAACCATATGCAACCTCTTACACAAAACATAACAATAAATCAATTCTTATTTTAACTTACTTTCAGCACTTTGACTTTCAACTTTTGCAAAGTCTTTTAATCTCTCCTCAATTGTTAACTCTTCTTCTTTCCTCTCTGTTAATTCTTTCATTCTAGCCATCAGAGCAGATAAACCACCTTCTTCATCAGAATTCTGCAATAACAACACTGAAATAAATTCCACATCGAAAACGAAGAACACAATTTTCAAACAGTTTTCCATAAAATTTTATCTTCACTAATATTTCACTTCTGTAGAGTATTTTTTAATTTTATAACCTACAAAAATAAATTTGAATTTTACCAAACTATGAATTTAAAATGACTTAATAAACAACTGTAAAAGATACAATCCTATATAAAGAAAATCAACTTACATTTGCTGAATCTGATAATGACGAACTGTCACTGGAATAGGAATCATCATTGTCTACATGATTGGAAGAAAATGTGTGACCATTCTGGAAATCTATTTCATCGTTTAAACCACAACCAAAAACAAATGTTGATAGCGCATGAAAATGCGTACATAAGATGAGGGCATGCGTCAACTCTGATAAACTCCAGCGATTTTTTCCAGCAATCAGTTTCTGCAAATAAAAAGAACAGACAAATTAAAACTCAATCCTAAGAATTGAAAAATATTCATTTGTATTTCATTTTGTTTGTATTACTGACATTAGTAAGTTCATAAAATTTGTAATGTTTTTTTTTTAATCCATTAAATTATAACAATAAATTTACAAATAAATTATTTCATCTACACTTACTTCAATATGTTCTTTAGTTATTAACCATGGTCTGTGAGCGAGAATTTTGTTAATTTCCAAAAAATCCTGGAGTTTCTGGGGAACATAGTCAATACCTTTCAGCCACTCAGGGTTACCTCCATGAAGTAGAAATTCTTGGGCTTGTAATTTTATTAAATAACTACACTGATGGCGACCACAAGCCTGTAATCACAACAGAAATAAACTACAATTTATAGTGGATAAATCAAATTTGCTTAGAAACTTTCAGATAATCTAATATAATTCAATTATTGATTAAATTCTTAAACTATAGATTAATTACTGACTTAATTATTAAGAAGAGAGCTTAAAAGTATAGATTTAAAATGAAACTCCAATTAAGAATTAATTATCTAGAATCATACCATTATGGAAATGTAGTGCCGATAGTCAAAGGGCAAAGGGCCATCTTCGTGTAGAAGGTAGTGTTGGGTTTTTAAAAAGCAATCCAAATAATCGGGATGGTATGACATCAATTGTATTATATTTGGAACCCTGTTGTTTTGGATGAAAGCCTCCATAAACAAAAGCTTTGTCTGGAAGGAAAAGTATACAAAATTAAAATAATTTTCATAAAATCAATATTTATTTTCAATCATTGAATCAGTGCACACCCGTTTATGAATGATGACTATTCATTTTATTTTCAAAGGTTCTACAAAAGGCATAGGCCTAATAAGGTATAGTAATGCATAGTGCCATACTTCTGAAAACAAACAATGAAGTTGCCTTGCATGATGCATAATATTTTAAACGAGTAAGATTGTGGCTGGTTGATTTGTTTCCTTCTGCTCACTCAGGATGGCTTCAAGGGTTTTTACCTTTCTAATAATAACCCCGTGGTCCGAGTCAAACAACCAATAGGATGTCGATCTATTTATAGGTCTCACATACACAGTCTCTAAGAGTCGAACCTCAATTTTACAGTAACGCTAGCTGGGAACAATATTGTTTACTTTAGGTCAGCCAGTTTGACAACTAAACCACACCTAAACAAAGCTAGCTTATTGTCCACTCACGTAGAGGGGAATTCTATGCTATAATTTGTACAATTATAAATGTCTATTTTTACTAACATTAAAATTTAACGCTGACTTTAACCGTAATGCACATTACTGACTGCCAACAATTACTGAATATTCATGAGTGAAACTTTCCATTCAAGATAAATCTATTTGTAGCATCAATCCTAAGCAGACACTGGCCTATTCATGTGGCAATTTAATAAGGATATAAATTGTGGGATTTCCCATTAATCGGGTATGCCGGGCAGCATTGCATCAGTATGCTTTTTCTGGAACAAGCCGGTACCAAATAGTTGCTATTAATCTCCGGCTATTTCATCAGCTTGTATTTCCGATCGTACGACTGGTTTGGGTATTGCATCAACACGTTGGCTGTTGTTATGAATGAAAGAAACATGATATTGTCCTATTGATTGTCGCACCTTTCGTGGTACGCGATAATATCTTTATTATTATTCATATATTTGTACGGCTATTTCATCAGCCAGCATAAGCGGAATTCCACACACATACACGTGTTAATTATTGATTTAATTGTACTAAATGAAAATTACATAAATAATTGTATCTAAAAAAAACACATAGATAGGCTTACCTGTTCATCTTCGGTGTCAACTGGGACAACCTGAAACAATAAAAAGATAAATTAGTATTCCAACAAACTCAAATTTACTAATGACATTGAAAAATCAAGCATAAAATCTAGCTTTATTATCTTTATAATTATTGTCAGTGATAGATTTTCTCAGAAAATATCGGGTTCTTTCCCTCCCATTACGATTATGATACCAAGTAACTGACAGTGTTTAAAATGCAGCGTTGACTTTAAAAATTGGATGGACATTAATTGTTATAGTGTCCATCATGTAGATCAAGTAGGATTATGCACTTTACTAGGTTAAACTTCCATTATTCAACATTAAAAATATTGCACACCTAGTGTTGCAAAAACTTCTAGATAGTTAGGCTACACTAAATTTCTATAGATCTGATCATTTCTAACCTGTGCAGCCTACATCAACTATTACTATTAACTTAAACTAAGTTCAAATTAGTGAAGGTTATGAACTGGCATTAGGCATACTATAAGGTAAGCTTGTATAATAAATATAACGAGAAAATTATGAAAATTCTATGAATAGGCCTAATTTAAATCAGGTACTGTATGGAATCATCTTCTGCTTTGATTTGATAATGATAGTTCATTCTCTAGCCTAGTGCTGGAAGGATTAAAGAGTCTATATTTTTGTCAAACAATATAAAAACAGGTTAGGTCTTGAACTCATTTGTTGGACCTCTCTCTTTTACAGTTTTATTTATCTTGTAGACAAATAAACTCTTCTTAACTTTTATCAAACAAAGACGGTGAATTTATGAAATTCGGATCTGAAGAGTGGATTTTAAGCCTACTTTTTAAATTTCCAAATACGAATAGAGTCTACGATGGTCACATTTCTATAACAGTGATTGCAAGAAATGAAATGTCAATTACATTCAGATGTCAAATAACAGTGTGTTCAAAATCTGAAGCTAGCCTAACACTAACAGCTGACTGGTTTCTCTACTTAGTACTTGACGATACGAGAACAAAGCCAGACTGTGTCCCAGTCCCACTCCCAGTATTTTTCCTATACTGGAATTAACATAATAAATTAAGTGGTGAATTAAGAATCACAAAACCGCTTCGGTTCCAAAATTGACACACAATTGTAACCCTTTTGACGAAATATATATTAAAATATAAAATATGCAAACTGAAAGTTAATAGCAGACGGCTAATTTCTACTATTTGTAGACTCTCGAACGCCGTGGATGAAAGTTGATGGAAAGAGAACATCACATATTTTCATTAAAATATTCAACTTACAGAAAATCCAGTTTGTACGGAGGCTTCCCTAGGTTGTATATCCTCAACCGGTATCATTTTAATCAAATATGGTTATTGTAAAATCCTTTCTTATTACATCACTCATAGAATCAGTATCAGACTACTTTGCTAGCCGGCAGACGATAACTGACTGACGAAGCTTTGTTCAGATCAGCTGACTGCGGCTAAATGACCTTTGACATACGCATGGTAATCAAGTGTCAATCACATGGAAGCCCCGCCTACGGCAGGTGCGCTCGCTACATTGCTAACTAACGAAATATTGCTTTATTTTGACATAATGACAAGCTGCTTTGCTTTTAATTATTTATAAATCTGACGCTCTATTTCTAACACCTTGCTATGAATAATATTTTATTATGAATAATACATTATCTTTAGTTATGAATTTCCACATTTGTATTTCAACTAATTCAGGCCACACACCACAAGAGAGAGAGAGAGAGAGAGAGAGAGAGAGAGAGAGAGAGACTCATAGAGAGAGAGATGGGTTTAACTAGGTCATTTCGGGACTAACACATGGTTCAATTTTATTTCAAGCATTCGCTTGCGCATACCTGGGTCTGTGGTACTAATTAGTGGGAGGAAACCGGAGGACCCGCAGAAAACCCAAGAGGTTGGACAGGCGACCCTACTCCTTGGCACGTACAACCGGGGAATCGAAACCACGTCAGTTGACTCAATGACAGACTTTATAATACAGCGCTAACCATTCAGCCATCCAACCCAGAGCCTGACCCCCCCCCCCCACACACACACACCCCACCCCCACAATCGAATATTAAGAAGATAGTCTATAGGCGGATTTTTTTCACGCTCGTCTGGCACCTTTTGTTTTTCTTTCGATTTTTTTGTCCGGATTAAAATTTGCGAATTACTTAGAAATTAAAAAAAAAAAAAAAAAAAAAAAAAAAAAAAAAAGGGCCTACAATACTATCATGATACCGCCTGGTGTTTCCTATTCATAATATAAATTATATAAATATCTGTTAATTACCTGACAACACACACAAATTATATTTTCAGTAACCATAATAAATAATCCACTGCTGTATGAAATGCACAATTAACTTTTCATAAACTGGACTGTTTTACTAGTTTTAGTGTTTACTTCTGCACCAATATTGGCTATATTATATAATAATATAAATCAAATGATGCAAACTTTTTAAATTATATTATTATATAACAAATTCTTGATTTTCCTTCTTAGTTCTTATAACAATTCACCAAATGATGCAAACTTTTAAAATTATATTATATAACAAATTCTTGATTTTCCTTCTTCCTATAACAATTCACCAAATGTTTTCTTATAACTGAAACTATCATTCAGTCGGTTGCTTTATATACGCTTTTAGATGGGTTGCATGATGTCAGTATTACAGATCAATATACCGAGCTTACTGAATTTTCAGTCTCGCAATATGATCGACTTCAAAATTGACCCTGTTTACAATGCAAGGATAATCTTGGAAGGTCAGGTCAAACTTTGAACCTAGGCTATGATTGGTTAGAAAGTAGGTGGGAGCAAGTTGATTGGTCCGATCTGGGGGTGTGCGTTTTGGTATTGTTTTATCCTAGCGATACTGTTAATCCCGTTCGAATTTTGATGGATTTGGATTAACCATTTAATAATACTATTTAATTGATTAATAATTGCAACCATTAACCCCATTTAACAATAGTTTGTTGATTGTGAAATGCTCAATAATTCCAAAATATCCTGTGGAAAGTTACTACAAACTCCGTATTATAATTGCATGTTTTTTAAAACTGTCTATTATTATTATAGGCTATTATGTAAATAAATTACATCACGATCAGCAGTTTGCTCAATAAATTTCAGAATAATGTTTACAGAAGGATGTTTAGATCTACTATCATACCTGAAAATTGTGTCTATTTTAAGAAAATTAAAAAATCTTTAAAGAAAGATAATTTTTTTAAAAATAGATTTTAGTTTTGTTGCATTTGGTTTTACCATCTTCATTAGCCGGATTTTATTTATTATTTTTTCCGCCAAGAAAACCCTTTCATGTTGCTTTACCTAAAATATCACATTTTGGAAACGTTGTGTTGGGTTTTGTTTTTAAAAGTATTGCACATGAATTTATATCTTAGTGTAGTTAAACTTATGATAAAGTTAAAAGAATGTAGGCCTGTAAATTGTGGATGTCAGAAACCATGACTTATTGATATGCAATGCTATGATTTTAATAACAAACATTTCTAAACTTTTATCCTACTACTACTACTCTGTACATCATGTACTCTGACAAGCACATTAGTTTAAAGCACATTAGTTTATTGCTTACGTGACTGTCACTGATGACATTGGTCTACTAACCTTTTCTATAGAGCCAAAACTAAAACCAGGATTTTAACTAGAAATGAGATGCAGCTAATAAAAAATGTCCTACATTAGTAGTGGAGGTTAGTCCAGAAATGAGATGCAGCTAATAAAAAAATGTCCTTCATGCATACATTAATAATAGAGGTTAGACCAGATATACAATTTTCAGTAATTTATCTTCTTAATTTCCTCCTTGTCAAATTATTTTCTGTTATTATGAGTGACATTTTCCCATTAAAAATTAACCATTTAACAACTTCATATCAGAAGATTAGGATTAACCGCTTTATACAAAGCCAATATATTTAAAGTAGCTAAGTCTCTAACTCAATATCATTCAAAATCTTCGACATTGAAAACATGATTTATTTGTCAATTTAAATCAACATTGATGTTGTGATCTTACGGGGAAAAGATGGGCTTCTGATATCCAATAATTAAGACAAAATAAACATTTTACCGTTGGTACACAAATCGTGTACGATGGTGCATTTCAGCGCTATTTTTAACAAGGGACTCGTAGAAAGAGGCTAGATATATTCCACAAGTCATGTCAAACGGTGACGTCATATTCTTATCTGGAGAGCATGAGCAATAAATACTATTGGTATAGAGTGGAATAACCAGACGCTAGAGATTGCCATTGGATTGAGACTACTGGTGTATTTCGCCGAACATAACTGATTAGAAATTGCATTAAAAACAGAAACAATTGAATGTAAATCAGTTTATATACATTCACATTACATTAACATTGCAACCCATTTGTGTCAATTTCTAGATCCAAAATATTAGCGATTTAGCTCCTTTAATAGTTACCTTTCCTGCTTTACTGAGACTGTGGTATAAATTTCTTTACTGTTTTTTGTAGGCTAGACCCTCTCTCCCCTTTTTTAAAACAACATAAACCCTTTGATTTTCCTTTTAATCTAGTTGTATTTATGTTGAATGAATTTCACAATATGATCTAATTAAACTTATTCAGTATATTAGTATAAACTATAACATATACTTATGGAAGAACAATCACTAATTTATTTTGGCGACTATTTAAAAAGTAGTTATTCTCTCAAGGTTTTTAAACAAATACAGTAACTAATGTGTAGGGCAATTATATATAGGCAAGCAATAACAACAAATCCAAAACATGCTGGATTCAGTTTCTACATCTAAAAAAAAGAAGTCCCACCCTGTTTATAATTTGTTTTCCATTTTATTTTAATAGTGTACTGCACTCACAGATTTTTAATATTTTATATAATGGAAATGAATGAGATTTCACATCTTGAAGACTAACATGAGCTTTTTCTTCATTTCAATGGTCAAATTTGTAATACAACCAGGAGACTTATGTCTTGTTTATAAACTTGGAGGCATGTGAGGTAGATGGTTTATGCACAGGTTTACTTTAAAGGGTGGATGAGGATTTTACCACGACAGCAGCATTACCACTGACTTTTCCTCGATTTCCAACTATCAATAGTTTTTTTGTGTGTATGTCTGGCCCAAGCTAGGATTCAAACTCTCTTATTTATTTTTCAGACTCTTTATATTTTTCCTCTTAAACATACATTATGCAAGAGCTAAATCTGCCTATTGCAGGTCTTTCTTTAGGTCTGAAATGTTTTATAAATTATTAATTAGACATTAATTAACCGATCCAGGCCATAACCAACTCTCAAAAGAAATCAGATTTCTTCGATATTAAATAGATTAGAACCGTTCAGCCATATTTTGATTTAATCTAAAAATGGAGGAGCGAGACTTAGCTTTGAACAACCAGTATGGTGGTTGAAATTATTGCACACGTCTTGTCGAATTATTCATTTTACATTATCTTTTTTCGAACTATTATAGCAAGAATGGCTAGCTCTTTATCTAATCTTACATAGTGTATCTTTAATTAGAAAGTTGGGTTTGGTTATAATACCAATTTTGATATAGGATAAGAAAAAAAACATAACAATTGTGTTTCCCTCCATTGTGTTCTTTTAAAATTGTAACAATCAGTATTGTGTTTCCTTATTTTTCTTCAAAACTAACAAAAGAGAATAACAAAATCTAGAACTGCTGATGCAGCACTTCTTCTTAAGCAATTAAAAGTTTAGGTGTGTTTTGACCTCATGCTCCCCCTATGAAAGGTATTGACTCCGCAATGGCATGCCATTATCTTTCACCCCTTTATTCCTCAATTTAACAGTTGTGTTGATGGGGTTATTGTTGGTTACACTACCCATGATGTCAAGTGACATAATACTTAGTAAGTTCTTACATCAAATGATGTAATGGTCACCTTATGGGTCTAGTGGTTTATTGACAAAGACAGTCTATTATAAAGTCCTAATTATGCTGTGTTTATCCTTTGGCCTAGTGTAAATTTTTATAGCAATTATGCAACAGCAGTTCAAACCTGGAGGATTTCACAAAATGCTACTGAATAAGCTTGTCAAAAGAAATAATGTTATTTAAATAACCTTTTCAACAACATTTAAGTCTATATCTTCATTAAGGGAATGTACATATTTACACGTAATGTCTGGAAATGTGGATGGCAAAGTTGATTTTGGAATATCAAAGTCTCCTGGGAAATATTAACAGGATAAAATTATGGCCTATTTTTAAGGAATAAGGAATGTAGCCTACATGTACAGCATAAACCTAAGGTAGGGCTGTAACGATTTATCGATGAACCGCGATGTTTTAAAAATCCACAATGCACGATCGATCAATGGCCGTATTGCGATTCGTTATTCAAATAATAATTTCATAAAAATAGACTGATATTCCTTTAAATGCGTAAATAAGTCCATGAGCAAAATAACTTTTTTACTTTCAGTGAGCGTTAAGCCGTTTTTGACACATGAAGTGGCTTATTAAAGCTATTTCGTCAGTCTGGTTAAGCAAGTCGCGCTGGAAATTAAGTTGCGTTGAAATTGCTCACTTGAATAATATGCGGGAAAAAACAACATAATAATATATATATATACGTTCGTAATATGCGATTTGTGATAATATTACTGTATAAGAATATTTAAACATACGTTATGCAAGAGATATATCGGCCTATTGCAGGTCTTTCTTTAGGCCTGAAATGTTTTCTAATTATTAATTAGACATTAATTAACATATCCAGGCCATAATCAACTCTCGATGGCATCAGATTTTTCCGATATTAAATTAAATAGATTAGAACAGTTCAGCCATATTTTGATTTAAGCTAAAAATGGAGGAGCAAGACTTAGCTTCGAACAACCAGTACGGTGGTTGAAATTATTGCACACGTCTTGTCAAACCTTCAAAGGCTAATATCTTCGCTCGCAATAGAGTAATTTGAATGAAAATTTCAAATTTTCCATTTTACATTATCTATTTTCGAACTATTATAGCAAGAATGACTAGCTCTTTATCTAAATCTTACATAATGTATCTTTAATATTAAAATCTTCGCAACCTTTTTTCCTTTGTTGTGCCGTAATCAATGACTGACCGGTCAACGAGAAAGCTTTTCATTGGCTGAAATTGTTGTGGCACTATGAGCCAGCCATCTGAAATTGTTTCATAATGTATTTACCAAATTCAAGTCACACGATCGACAAAAGCAAATATGAGATCGAAATCCCCCATACCAAGTATATAAGTCACAAGTAAAGTATGGGAGTTTTTAGGATTTCACGTTAAGCATGACATCAATGAAATCTGGTCAGTTGACCTAGAAAACACCGCATTTAAAGTACGGTAAATCATAAAAGTAGGCCTTCGAATTTTCACAGTGAAAGATATTAATTGTACCGTAGACTATGAATCGTGATGCGCATCGTATCTTGGCCTGGCGTATCGTTGCAGCCCTAAACTAAGGTAATATATAATGTATATTTTTGACATTAAATGGGTAAAATTGCAGCACTAATTCCAATTTATACATTAAAATTCATAATCACATTAAGGATATCTTGAGGAAAGCCACTTTAATGTTATCACATAGTGATACCAATCTGTTTCACAGAGAATTACGAAAGTCTTCTAATTTCTCTGTAAAAGATGACTGCATTTTTTACATAAGACGTTAAAGTTTTGGGCAAGATGGTCCCTTTTACTCATTTCAATACCCATTTACACTAAATTAGGACAAATTTTTTACCTACAAATACTTCAAACCTCTTTATTTTTCTAATACATTACAAAAATCTTTTAGAATTTAATTTGTCGGAGGAAAAAAGTTAAAATTTGTGGCTCATTAAATCGTATCAATGTCATCCTTATCAGTGATTGTAACGGCCTAGCAAATATTCACTGCTGATCAGTGTGAGTGATGTACAACCAGCAGGATACAGTGCATGGATATATACCAAGGGAGATAACTCAAATTAGTCTAAATATTTCACGAAAGATTTTTGATTGCATATGTGCATTTAATCTATTTCATACTATAGCATAATCTAATTGATTATATCAGAAATTAGATAGAAGTGTACGTACATGTATAGTTATATTTCTTGGAAAAACATGTATATTTAAAATAATTTTAGACAGCCCTCACATTGATACACTGGCTAATACTTCTCACCTACATGTAAAGCAGTTATAAGGTACATGATTCTTAGTTTTGTATTACCAACTTACATCATTCTCTGCAATAAAGTGACTTGGTCCTCCACCAGTTTTTCTCGGCAACTTTATTCCTTTTCGTTCCTGCAAATAGAAAATAAAATTTACATATCAAATTATGATGCTAATTTGGTAAAACGTACATGTAACACTATCCAAGCCGGCAATTATATTCTAAAACAACCACAAAATGTTCAGCGTAAATGCAAAGAAAATGAGTCAGTCAATTTGAAATGGCAAGTAGAAAATTTCATAATGGTTAGAAAAGCTTGATTTAAGACTGAAAAGTACCCACCGGTGAAATATATACATTTAATTTCAATTATATTATCTTTTTAAGAAAACTTTTTTTTTTTTTTAGTAGGCATTTATCCAACGCTAATTATAAATTCTGAATAAAAGAAATATTCAAAATTAATCACATATTTAATCTTCGTGAAACTGATAATAATATGTAATTCAATATGTTAACACCTTTAATACGTGTATATCATGCTTTAAAGTCAATGAAACAGTTAAACATACATTATGCAAGAGCTAATTCTGCCTATTGCAGGTCTTTCTTTAGGCCTGAAATGTTATCTAAATTATTAAATAGACATTTATTAACATGAAAAGACCATAATCAACCCTTGATGGCATCTTATGTGTCAGATTTTCATTGGATTTGAATCTGTTTTGCTGCTCAGTGCTCATTCATGACTAAATCCAAAAATGGATAACCGAGACTATATTTTTGATCATAACGACTTTAGTAATGATGATCGAGCCTAGGCCTAAATTTTAATCGCTTGTAATTTGGTTCAGAGTGGATCAATTTGACTGAAATTTTCAGCATATCCCGTATAGATTATCTAGTTTTTAACTATTATACTTAGAACTGGCAGCTCTTAATCTCATCTTCCATAATGTATCTTTAAGAAGTCATAGTTATTCTTAGCAATTGCATGTTTTTCGATCTCAATAATTTTTCTAGTTGCATTGTTAATGCTTTGTAGGCATACCTACATCCAAGGGATATTTCTTTTGAGCTCAGATGGCATAAAGTTTTGTTGTTAAGTTGAAATACTGGTAGTTACAACTGTATATATGTAAAGAGATGGTGTTACTCCAGATACCAAATATAAAAATATTCCAAATATATATCAGCAAATTTGAAGTGACGCTCATGTGATCATTGTGAATAATAAATTTAAACACAATACATGTATAACTACATTGTACATGTAATAACCATACATTATGCAACTACAAGATCTAAATCTGCCTATTGCAGGTCTTTGTTAAGGCCCGAAATGTTACCTAAATTATTAATTAGACATTAATTAACTAATCCAGACAATAATCAACTATCAATGCCATTGCTAGCCTACAATATTTACTGGATTAGGATCCGATCTGCTGCTCAACTCTCATTCAGGATTAAATCGAAAACTGGATAACTGAGACTATGTATTTTATTGCACCGACTTTAGTAATGATGATCAAGGCTAGGTCCAAAATTCAATCGCCAAATTCTCGGTTCAGAGTAGATCAATTTGACTGAAATTTTCAGCAAATTACCTTTACATTATCTAGTTTTTAACTATTATTGTGAGAACTGCCAGCTTTTTTCTTTTTATCTTATCTCCCATAATGTATCTTTAACAGAATTCTAACTGTCTAGGATGAAGATACTGAATGGAAAGACAAGTAGGCGTTTATTTGGAACATGTTTTTTATTTAAATATATTGTACACTTGCTCTTAAGCAAGCTCCATTCGTTTAACTGGACTATCAATTTTTACCACAATTTATAAAGCCTTATTAACCAGAAAACCAAGCAATTACATGTAGGCACCAACTGGTAAGTGTTAGAAACCTCAGTGGCAGAAACATAAATGCACATTTTAAGCCACCGTGAAGACGTTCTAGCCATTCAAAAATATCCATTTGCCCCATGAAATTTAGAGGACTGTTAGTGAGGCGGATATGTAACATTTTTTGGTCGAGTTGTGCACTTCCGGAAAGAGGCATTAAAATTTGGCCATGGGGGTTTTGGCACTTTTGGGGTATGCAGATTTTAAAAATGGCGGGAACCACGACGTCACTCTAGCCGTTCCCGACAAAAATTTCTGTATCTGCACCGGTTTCAATGATCTTGACGTCTATACCTATGTTTTTGATGTCAAGGAATCCAGTAAAACACATACGAAGACTCATAATGTTCTCCTTCATAGTGTTTTCTAAAAATGGTCATGAATTCTTGACATCTGTTTAGCAAAGAAGGAGGTGCAAATGATACATCTATTCGATTAGAATTATGACCATTTTTAGAAAATACTATGAAGGAAGTGCACGCCCATTTCACATATCTGCCCCACTATGTTATTCTCATTCGAAACAGGTCACAATCCAAGATATATCCATTTTGGGGTGCAACAAATCAGATTAAAGGATGTATGTGAAAGGAAATCACAATCTACATCAAATTTCAATATGTTCCTGGGCATGCACACATATGTATATCTTGAAAAGGTACCTACATGTACATGTATAATATACATTGTACATGTAGACATAGATAGCCTATTAAAGGTAAAGGTTGCCAGGCAAGGAAACATGCACCCACGGAAGCTAAATCGTTCAGGCAGTCAACAAGAGTTGTCGCATATTTTTACTTTTGAAACATTTGAATAAGAGTAAAAACTCCTTAAGTAATTATCAGAAAATCATTAGAATTTGTTTGGTTTTTATAAAGTTCTGGCCCATGCTAACGTTTAGTATACGAAACATTTAATATCATGGAGTTATCACAAGACCTTAAACTCTGTGTATCAATCTGAAGTCAATCGGATGATAACTTTAGCGTCTAGAGCGTCACAAGATTTTTCAAGATTGGAAATCGTTGAAAATCAATAGGATACTTCGTCTCATGACCTCAAACACTGCGTATAGATTTAAAGTCAATCGGATATTAACTTTAGCCTTTAGGGCGTCCACAAGATTCTTTGAAATGATCAAGGGCCATAACTCTGGCAGTAATTATCTGAAATCGCTTTAAATCAATAGGCTTCTTCGCCTCATGATCCTAAAACACTGCGTATAAATTTAAAGTCAATCGGATATTAACTTTAGCCTCTAGGGCGTCTACAAGATTCTTTGAAATGATCAAGGGCCATAACTCTGGCAGTAATTATCCGAAATCGCTGAAAATCAAAAGGCTTCTTCGTCTCATGAGCTTAAATACTGTGTATAAATTTAAAGTCAATCGGATATTATCTTTAGCCTCTAGAACATCCACAAGATATTTTGAAGTGATCAAGGGCCATAACTCTGGCAGTAATCATCAGAAATCGCTGAAAATCAATAGGCTTCTTCGTCTCATGACCTTAAAAACTGTGTATAAATTTACAGTCAATCAGATATTAAATTTGACCTCTAGGGCGTCCACAAGATTTTTTTGAAGTGATCAAGGGCCATAACTCTGGCAGTAATTATCGGAAATCGCTGAAAATCAATAATCCTCTTCATCTCATGACCTTAAACACTGTGTATAAATTTAAAGTCAATCGGATATTAACTTTGGCCTCTTAGACTGTCCACAAGCAATTGTGGGCGCCAGACCGACCGACGGACGGACGGACGGGGCGACGACAATATATGACCACATTTCAATGTGGGCGTATAAAAAGTCCAATAAAGGTCACAAGTCTACAAGAATAAGGCATGATGTAATACAAAATAATTTGGAATGCTAAATATAAACTTATTAGGTAAACAGAATCTTCCATTAACAAGTTAGGGGTGTTCACAGTATAGATGCTGCCTCTTGAAACACTCATGGGCTTTAGAATCTGTTAATGAACAGACCACAACTAAACTGGCCTTAAATTTAGACCTCTTTACAACAATAATGACAGCCAAGGCCAGTATGTTTAAAAAAAACAATATTAATCGCTTACAATTTAGCCAACTGTATCAAGGCAGACACATGTATCTACATTATCAAATTAGTTTCATCAGTTCTATATATAGTAAAATTTGGTCAAATCAACCTGAGGGATGACACAGTCTTGCCACACAGTAGGGTCTATATTTTACAACATGTAAATGTCAATGCATGAGTACAGTACATGGCCATGTAATCAACCATTTGTTTTGTAAAATGGCAAGGTTGTATACAGTACATGTATGTTCTACAAATCTGTAGTCAAAATGATAAACCAATAGTAATTTTATTGTGTCCATGACCCACACATTTTCTTACACATTATTTTCTTAAGTACCTGGGCCCTGTTTCTCGAAATCTTAACTAAAGATAAAATCCAAATTTTAGTAGATACTTCAATTTTGATTGGCTAAGCACTAAAATCAATCTGATATTATCCAATCAAGTTACTAAAATTTAGATTTTATCTTAGTTAAAATTTCGTGAAACAGGCCCCAGAACTTTTGAGACCTCCTGGGTTTCTACAAACTGAAACAAGGGTCTCAACTCTGGAGGTAATCTACAGAAATTGTTGAGATTTGACAGGCTTTTTCGTTTTACTAATTTGAATAATGCATATAAATTTCATACATATCACATGATCATTTTTGTCATTCAAACGTTCACAATCGCCATAACTCTAGAAATCATTGACGGAAATTGCTGAAATTCAATAGACCTGTTTCACAAATTTAAATGATGCATATAAATTTCATACATATTGGATGATAACTATCATCAATCGAGCATTAACAAGGTTTAACAAAGTGAAACAAGGGCAATAACTATTGTAATTATTGTAAATTGCTGAAATTTAATAGGCTTTTTCGTTTCAATAATTTAAATCATGCATATAAATTTCACAAAGATCCAATGATAACTTTTGGCGTTGGAGTGTTCACAAGGTTCAATAAAGTGAAACAAGGGCCATAACTCTAGACGTAATAAACGGAAATTGCTGAAATTCAATAGGCTTCTTCATTTCACCAATTTAAATAATGCATGTAAATTTCAGAAAGATCGGATATAACTTTTAGTTAAACAAGGGCCATAACTCTAGGCGTAATAAACGGAAATTGCTGAAATTCAATAGGATTCTTCAACTCACTAATTT